GAGTCTTTTCGCGCGATTTTTGAGAAGTCCTTGTGTTCAAGGGGCCATTAGGTAAAAAAAAAAAACCACCTGAAAATTTATCATAATTTTCCGCTCATTTTTTTTTTATCATCAAAATATCTTTCGATCAATTATTCTATTCTTGGCTCTGAGGAATCATTGGTATTTTTTCGAAGTATTGGATATTGACATTAGGTAAAAAGTAAAAAGTAAAAAATGCCTCGAGACATAATGCGTACGTACGTGTATATATGTAGGTACGAATCGCCTTACTGGAGAGGACTTGCGGCTAAACGAATTCAAGTAGCTTGGAGATACAGACAGAAGCGAATAAATCGCACCGTGTAATTAGCTAACGACATTCAACGAGCATTTGCGAATGCATATATGCAAAGCTGTGTATATATGTGTGTGTGTGTGTGAGTGTGTGTGTGAATCATTTTGTATGCAACTCACGAGAACTAAAGGTGCAGCCACATATAGGTTTGAAGTATTATTCCACAGCAGGAGAAATGTGATGTTAATTTAGGGAGAAAATATGCTGCTAAATGATTCTTGGAGGTCAAATTCATGATGTGTTTTATTGTTTATTTTGGTAGATATTCTACTTTGTTACTTTTCATTAGATGAAATTAGATTGGAGGTCTTTGAGCTCTTGTGGTTGTGTAGGTAGCAGGTTTGCTTTTTCCTCCCAACTGAAATATGCACAAAGTGGTCCCAACTGAAATATGCACAGTGGTAAAAGACATGACCCGGTCAAACCCGTTGACCGATGACTGCGGGCCTTGAATCTGCTCGTGGATTTATCTGGTCCAGTACAAGTTTATGTTTTTTCACAAATTCAATGGCCGTTTAACGAATTTAAAAATTGATTTTTTTTTTTTAATTTGCCAATTCAGCACGGAAACTGCGGACTGGTTCAGAACCGTGAATAGTCCCATATATATACCTAGGCCGGTTTAGGTTCACATACAATGCGAACTTAAACCGGGCAGTTTCAATTTCCGAACTGGAACTAAATTGAAATTGAGTTTTGGCCACATCTAAGTGGTATAAAGAGATGTAAACTATACGAGTTATTAAGATGAGTCAATTAACCAGATCGAGTCATACTCATTTATCAATATTAACAAGTTAAACTCGGTCTTGACAAACCAAGCTATGAAAGATCATATAAAGATTCTTAACTCGTAAACTAGTCGAGCGTGCGATTGAAAAAACTGAATTAGAGAACGAACATAAATATTTTGGTGGATGGTTAATTGTTTTGAAATTGTGAATAGATATGAGATAATGTATTAACTAAAATTAATGTGATGAAAAAATTAATAAAATAATAACTATAAATAGATTGGTAGTTAAAAATATATTGAATGGTAAATATTATTGAAAAATATGTAGTTGCAATTGACTTTTATTATTTAATAGTATTGATAATATTGTTGAGAAAAAACTAGATGAGATAATTTTTGAAATTTTTAAAATAAAAAAATTCTGATGAGATAAATATAAAAAAATTAATAATATCCAATTGCTTCCTAAATAAGCTTGAACTCGGCTTAGTTAGGCTAATTTCGTTTAAATAAAAGCTCTTTTGAGATTCCCTTTAAGCCCCTCGAGTTGGCAAAGAATAATGTCTTGTATTGTGGCTCCAAGATAACAAATGTATAATCCCTTGTGCTTAATATGGTAAAGAAATACTGTAAAACCTCATAAAAATCATTTATTCCGTAAATAGTTTATGTAAGTCGGCAAATCAATGCATAATCTGAGTGCAAGTCAAAGATTTTAATAAAACAGTCTCAATCTCTTTAATTTTGTAAGATTTATTTTTATTTTCTAGAAAAATTTCTTGTCCAAAAAAGTAAAAACGGAATAATTGGACCTAACTATTGAAATATATTGCAAATTCACCACATTTGGAAAATATTTTTAAAATATTTATTCCCGAAAACTGCTAATCACCTTTCATCTTTATCCGTTTACTCTCTCTCTAAAAGTCTCTCTTCCTCTCACGTTCATTTGTTTGTCGTTTCTCCATCACAGTGCGCAGTATACACATAGTGAAGAACACATCACACTCTTCTCCTGTCGTCTTTGCTGTGGAGTTTTTCTGATAGGTTTGGCGGTCCGAGTGAAAAGGTAGATTGAAAAAAAAGCAAACTGTTTAGGGTTTGGTGTTTCGGTGTGTTTTTGTGATTGAACCAGTTGGATCTGTGGTTTATCTTTAATATTTTAAGTTATCTTTTCGTGATTTTGGTTTCTTCTTCCCGTGACTAGGTTTATCGTATGTAGGTTAATGAAGATTTGCTTCTGTTTCATTGTAGATGGAGACCTTCGTTTATTCCTCTGCTTTGTGTTTTGTCTGTATCACATGTTGGGGTTTCAAACGCTTTGTCCAGATTTTACCTGGGTTTTTTGTTGGATTACTTTTCTAAGTATTGTTTCTGGCAGTAAGGGTGTACTTGTTTGGAACTCCATTTATTGTTTTCACTTTGACACTAATCCTTTAGTATATAACAACAAATTACCATTTGTTTGCTGTTTAAGAGGTGTTCCTCGTACTTGGTTAGACAAAAAAATAGTTAAATCCATGATGTTCTGTGGCGTGATTTGTGAGCACGGGATCACTAGATTTGTGTTCTCTTGTTATTATTTCATATCTTGATGCTGTTAGGGTGATTTAAAAAAAAAAAAAATCTGTTGATTTTCCGGCTTAGTTTCAACAATGGTGAGAAAGAGGCGAACTGATCTTCCTGGGGCTGGTGAGAGCTCTGAGTCTCAGCAATCTGGTGGACAACAAGGCCCTGAGCAATTCCCTCCCATACAGCAATCATTCCAGCAGCCTCAACAACAAGGAGGATATCAAGGAGGAGGAAGAGGCAGGGGCCCACGTGGAGGATATGGCGGCCGTGGTGGTGGAGGTGGCAGACTTCCCCAGCAACAGTATCATGGGGGAGCTTCTGAATATCAACAGGGTGGGCCCCAGTACCAGAGAGGAGGGCCACCTGTCCAGCACCGAGGTGGATATGCCAGAGGTGGGCCATCCAGGAAACCAGCTCCCGAGCTGCACCAAGCTACCGATTCTCCGCATCAAGGGGCAGGTCCATCTCAACCAAATCCATACAGGAGGCCTGCTGAAACACATCCTGGAGCTGGGGTGACTTCTCAACAACCACAAGAGCCATCCGCTTCTGCAGTGTCGGAGCAAATGCAGCAACTCTCTTTGCAGCCAGAGGTGAACCCGAGCCAAGAAATGCAACCGGCTTCGAGCAAGTCCATGAGGTTTCCATTGAGGCCAGGCAAGGGTAACAATGGCATCAAGTGTATTGTGAAGGCTAACCACTTTCTTGCCCAGCTTCCTGACAAGGACTTGCATCAATATGATGTGAGTTGGCTTCTTTTCTAGCCTTATATTTGATATTGTTTGCCTCTGGAGAATTATTTCTGTGATTTTGATATGTATGTGCTCGATTGAGTATTATTGACTTTTCATGTGCTGTGTGTAATAGGTGTCCATTACACCAGAAGTTTCATCCCGTGGAGTCAATCGTGCTGTAATAAAGGAATTAGTGGGTCTATATAAGGAGTCTCTTCTTGGAAATAGGTTACCTGTCTATGATGGTAGGAAGAGTCTATATACTGCCGGGGCTCTACCTTTTGCATCAAAGGATTTCAGAATTACTCTCACCGATGAAGAAGAGGGGCCGGGGGGTCTCAGGTTTTTTTCAACCCATTTCTGGCATGATATTTGTTTTACATGAATGAATTTTGTGTTTTTACTTATAACCTATGGTTTTCGATATGTTTTGCAGGAGGGAAAGAGAGTTTAGGGTGGTGATCAAGTTTGCTGCGCAGGCCGACTTACATCATCTAGGCATGTTCTTACAGGGGAGGCAAGCTGATGCTCCTCAAGAAGCTCTCCAGGTTCTGGACATAGTTCTGCGTGAACTGCCTACCAGCAGGTATGTTATGATGCACTTATAACTGTCAAAGTGGTTTTAAATTTTCTTCAATGCTTTTTACTGATTATTCTCATACTTGTAGATTGTGCCCAGTTGGTCGCTCCTTCTATTCCCCTAATGTAGGTTCGAAGCAGCCACTTGGTGAAGGGCTTGAAAGTTGGCGTGGTTTTTACCAGAGCCTTCGCCCTACTCAGATGGGGCTGTCACTAAATATTGGTGAGCTAATTCTCTTTGTAGTTATCTAGATTCTTATTTGTTTCTTTTAATGGCTGTTTTGCTCACTGATGCATCCTGCTAGTTTTAGATAACAAGTGTTTTCACCTTAAATTGTGTTCTTGATGGAGCAGATATGTCTTCCACTGCTTTCATTGAGCCGCTCCCAGTGATTGATTTTGTAGTCCAACTTCTGAACAGGGATGTGTCAGCTAGACCTTTGTCTGATGCTGACCGTGTGAAGGTTCGATATTTTGCTCATCTTGTCAGCTTGGTTTTATGTACTTCAGTATCTTTTATGGTTTCATTGTTTTACGAAGATAAGAATAATAAGATGTTCTACACTCTGTAGCTTGTATTTCCATCAGAAGTTTTGTATATAAAGTTCGTTCATCTTATATGTCTACATGTAATGTAGATATTTAAAGTGATACCATTTGCTCCCATTAACTTCATCGAATTGAACCAGATAAAAAAGGCTCTGCGAGGAGTAAAGGTCGAAGTTACTCATCGAGGAAACATGCGTCGGAAATATCGCATCTCTGGTTTGACATCACAAACAACAAGGGAACTAACGTAAGACTTGAATACAGTACTTTTTTTGGATTTGATAAGTCAGATAATAATGAAACTATTTATTATTGCTTATATGGTACTTTCACTTATCTTTCTTAGACAGTAATTGTAATATAATGGTTGAGCTTCATATCTGGTATTCTGGTTTTTGTTACTTTTTTGAAAATTTTCAGCTATGGTTTATCTTTATTAGCTCTCTTATGGAAGTTTTGCTTTCTGTATTCTGTACTGCATTCGTAACTTGCCTATAACTGCCACAATATTTTGCGTTCTTGAAACAATATGATCGTGGGTGAGGTGTAAACACTTCAGTGTTTCGTGATTTTTGGTGCTAGCATGTAAGATTTTGAATCATTTCAATCCATTGTTCTTAGTCTTATCATCTGAACTTGGCCTGCTTTTGTCAGATTTCCTGTTGATGAAAGGGGCACGTTGAAATCTGTTGTTGACTACTTCCGGGAAACCTATGGATATGTCATTCAACATGCTCAGTGGCCATGTCTGCAAGTTGGGAATACTCAGAAACCAAACTATTTGCCAATGGAGGTGTGCAAGATAGTCGCGGGTCAGAGGTACTCCAAGAGGTTAAATGAGAAGCAAATCACTGCACTCCTCAAAGTCACGTGCCAACGCCCCCAACAGAGAGAGCATGACATATATGAGGTTTGGAAAATATACAATCTGTGGTTTTATATAGGATATGTTTTTTTACTGAGTGTGATCAAGCATTTGTCTGCTTCCACTATGTTGCTAATGTCATGAAAATTTTGTTTGATTTGTTTCACAACTGTTGGGTGGGCTTTTGTGGTTTGTATTCATGTTTAACGATCTGTTTCCATGCAATGAACTTTTTTCTTTCTTTTGTCAGACTGTAAGACACAATGCCTATGCATCAGACCCTTATGCTGAGGAGTTTGGGATCACAATTAGCGAGAATCTGGCCCAAGTTGAAGCTCGTGTTCTGCCCGCACCCAGGGTGCACTGAATTGATCTCTGAACTTCCTGAACAATGTTTTCTTGGTATCGTTCATAATACATGTTTCTCTTTGCAGCTCAAATACCATGATTCAGGTCGGGAGAAAGATTGTATGCCCCAAGTTGGGCAGTGGAATATGATGAACAAGGTGACTGCCGCCTCCATATTGCTTCTATTTATTTGACATGAGCTAATATTGCATCTGTTTATTTGACATGAACTACAACATGACGTGTTGCATATTTTATTGTTTGAAAGCTCGAAAAGTCGAAATTTGTGGTTAATTAGCTTACATAATGCAGAGGATGGTCAATGGCGGCATCGTCAACAATTGGATCTGTATTAACTTTGCTCGTAACATACAAGACAATGCTGCGAATAATTTTTCTTACGAGCTTGCTCAAATGTGCAATACGTCTGGCATGGTAAACTTTAATCTTCTAATGTTTTTCAGGTAATAGTGTTGCACCTCCACCTTTTTATAGTAATTTTTCCCTGCAGGCTTTCAATCCAGACCCTGTCTTACCAGTTTTGAGTGGCCGGCCTGATCAGGTAGAGAGAGTTTTGAAAGCCAGGTTTCACGAGGTCATGACTAAACTGCGGCCCCAGGGGAAGGAACTTGATCTGCTAATTGTTGTTTTACCTGACAATAATGGTTCTCTTTATGGTGAGAGAATACAGGATCTCTAACCTTGTCAAAATTTCATAGGGGAACGGTGTTGGTAGGTTTGGTAGGTGTAGATTTCCATTCTCTTGTTTGTAAATAACATATATTATCTCCTTGTAACAGGTGATCTGAAACGTATATGCGAAACGGATCTTGGAATTGTCTCCCAGTGTTGTCTTTCCAAACATGTTTATCGAATGAGCAAACAATATCTTGCCAATGTGGCTCTGAAGATTAATGTGAAGGTTGGAGGGAGGAATACTGTTCTGGTTGATGCAATATCTAGGCGTATACCATTTGTTAGCGATCGTCCCACCATTATTTTTGGTGCTGATGTCACACATCCTCACCCTGGCGAGGATTCTAGCCCATCTATAGCTGCCGTATGATGTGTTCCCTATGCTTATTTTCGGTTTTGCATGGTTCCTTTTGGCCTTTTTGTTTTTCACTTGAAGTTCTTACATTGACTTTTTTTTTCTTTTTTTTTTTTAGGTTGTTGCTTCTCAAGATTGGCCAGAAATTACCAAGTATGCAGGCTTGGTTTCTGCACAAGCCCATAGGCAGGAGCTTATCCAAGATTTGTACAGAACTTGGCAGGATCCTGCGAAGGGAACCATGCATGGTGGCATGATCATGTACTGTATTCTCTATTATTTGAACATTAAGCTCTCTTTCAATTATTTCCCCCTTTATTGTATTGGCCATGTTTTGTTTATGGTTGTTGGACTATGTCACTATCTAGGGAACTGCTTATTTCTTTTCGCCGGGCAACTGGTCAGAAACCCCAAAGGATTATTTTCTATAGGTGATAATATCTAGCACTGTTATGCAGTCATATTTTCTCTTTTCCCTTTGTATCTGACATATATGCCCTGTTGTTTGCAGAGATGGTGTTAGCGAAGGTCAATTTTATCAAGTTTTGCTGTTTGAACTTGACGCTATACGAAGGGTAAAAGTGGAATTTCAGGCATTTGTTGTGACGTAAAGATTATGGAAGTGGTGAAGTACTTGCTTTCGATTCTCATTCCTGTAAAACTGCCCCTCTTTTTT